CCCCCCAGCCACAAAGGGTAGAAGGGAGACGGGGAGGGCCTAGCTCCCGTCAGAGGTGTGAGGAAGACCACCCCCACCCCCACTTCTCCTTCTCCAGCCTGTCCCCATCCCTCTCTCTTCAGGGTGCCCACTGCCCCCTCTGATGAGGCTTCCTTCCCTGGTAAAGAGGCCTTGGCTGCCTTCTTGGGCTGGTTTGACTACTGCGACCACCTCATCCTGGAGGCACACCCGGTGAGGAGGGGTGACACGGATAGTGGGTGCCCACTCTGTTCCCTGCCCCTCCCTCCCTTGGCACCATTCGAGGGCCCAGGGGCAGGTGCCTGGGAACTCTGGTCTGTCAGGAGCCCTCCATGACCCACTAGCTGTTGGCATGAGTCTGACTTATGGCAACTCTACTCACATAGCGTAGAGCAGTTCCCAGGTGCTCCTGACTGGCCTTGGGGACGCACACGCCTGGCCTGTCTGCCGAGGCACCTGCAGCCGGGTTCAGGCCACTGGCCTTTCCACTAGTGGCCGAGTGCCTCACTGTGTGCCCGGCCTGGGGACCTTTGGCCTGTTGTGTCAGGTGCCGTGCAAAGATATCGCTGTTTCTCGGCGGGTATTGGTCAGAGACTGGAAAGCGTGTGTGAGACGCGCCTTCTGGTGCTCAGGTTGTCGCAGACGCCTTGGCAGAGGCTGTGGCCCAGCGGTTGTTTGTGGAAACCCTGCAGCCCCAGCTCTTGCACGTGTAAGTCCGTATGCCCTTTCCATGGGTGTGCCTGAAACTGCTCCCCACCCCCAACCAGTTCCCCTGCCAGGGACCACCGGGACCGGTCAGGTCTGTGGACTCCACCTGCCGGCCTGCTCCCCTTACAGGCACCTAGCTCGGAGCCCCGTGGCTACACAGGACTGTGGCCCTTGGACCCACGGGGCCTCCAGAGGGATGGGAGGTGGGCAGAGAGACATTAGCCAAATATGTGAGGGTTTAGCCCCGCCTCCCTACAGGCTCACTCCATCTCTCCCCCTCCCCCTGCGCGGATGGGGCGTTCTCTCCCACCAGGTGTGAGCAGAGCATCTTGACCTCCACCACCCTGTTGACCACCATGCTGCGCCAGCTGCGCTCCCCTGCACTGCTGCAAGAGGTGGGGACTTTCCTCTTAGGTCCTGAGCCCTGGCCAGAGGCCCCTGAGGCCGGGCCGCACCCCCTGTGCACACAGCTCATTGGGCACTGTGACCACCTCTCAGACGAGGTAAGGTGGCCGGCCCCCAGCTCCGCCCCTCACCCCCGCCCACGGGATTCCCTGGGCACTTATTCTCATCCGCAGTGGCTAAGCCGGGGTAATTTCCTCCCTCTCCCAGGCATGGAACCTGCCCCCACTGTAATTGTCTATGCTAGCACACTTTTTAGGGCGCTTTATTATCTTGGAAGCGGTATTTATGTACACTTGCCTTGTTTGCTCGGGGAAAAGAGACAGGACTCTGTACGCCTGTAAAGAGTTAGGCTTAGAAACACAGGGCAATTCAACCCCATCCTGTAGGGTCGCTCTGAGTCGGCATCGACTTGTTGGCAGTGAGTTGAGTGGTTGAGTCGGCTTGTCTGACCCTCGGAGGTAGGAAAGGCCCATAGCCTGCCTTTTCCAACATGAAACTGAGGCCCAGGTGCCCTATTGGCTTGCCCAACATCACAGCTCAAACTAATTACGGGGCTGCCCCCAGAGCCAGCAGCCAAAGTGCCCAGCCAGGGGAGCTGCACCTCCGCAGAGACTTACCCAGTGAACCGTTCTAAGCAACCCTGGCAGTTGGGGTGGTACTGGGCGCCTGCGTGGGGAAGGGGCTGCACCGCTGACCCCTCCTTGCTCTAGATCAGCATCGCCACCCTGCGGCTGTTCGAGGAGTTGCTTCAGAAGCCCTGCGAGTGGGTCGTCCACAGCCTGGTCCTGCAACACCTGCAGGGCCGCCCCTACGTGGCCCAGGGCTCCACCGAGCCCGAGAACGACGAGGATGCCCTGTAAGTGGATGCGGGCCCCTCTGTGAGCCCACGCAGCCCCCTCGCAGCCCCACACTGACACGTGTGGTGCCGCAGGGAGCTGGAGGAAGACCCTTACTTCACTGATGGCTTCCTCGATTCCGGCCTTCAGCCCTCCAAGCCTCCCCCTGCCCGGACCACCAATTCAGACGGAAAAACGGCAGTGACCGAGATTGTCAACAGGTGGGGAGGAGCTTGGGAAAGGCGAGTTTTGTTCCACCTCCGGTGTAATGGGTCCGGCCTGGGAGGGAGTGCACCCCTCAGGGCTTGGGGAGAGCAGGACCAGCCCAGGGGGCGCACCTCCACACCCAAGCCATGTCTCTCAGTTTCCTCTGCCTGGTTCCTGAGGAAGCCAAGACCTCAGCCTTCCTGGAAGAGACGGGCTATGACACCTACGTCCATGACGCGTTTGGACTGGTGAGTGCCCAGGCCCTCGCCCCGCACCCACCTCTCATCCCTCAGCACTGCGGATTTGATAAGCGCTATTACTGTATGACCATCCTGTCCCCCACCCCCCCACCCCAGCCCCAACCCCGGTCACCATCACCTACCCCACCTATCCCTGGCTCTGGCCTGAAGCCCTGAGCCTGCTTTTCCTGGGTGTCGTCCTGTCTACTGGCCTCTCCTGACCCCCATGCTCTCCTTCTCCTGTCACAGTTCCAGGAGTGCAGCTCCCGAGTGGCCCCCTGGGGATGGCCTCTGGGGCCAGCCCCCCTGGACCCCCATGAGCCCGAGCGGCCGTTCTTCGAGGGTCCCTTCCTAAAAGTGCTCTTTGACCGGATGTCTCGCATTCTGGATCAGGTAGCCAACAATACTGGGCCCCCGCAACCAGGCAAGGAAGGGCCACCCCCTACACACACACATACACACACACACACACACACAGAACCCCAGGCTAGTCCCCTCTGGAGAACCTCAGGAGCTGAGGGGCTGCTCGTGGGGGTCGGCTCCTCTTCAGGTCTCAGGTTCCACCATGGCCCCTCACCCCCACCCCGACTTTCCCCCAGCGGGAAGCCCCGTCTTGCCTCTGCTCCACAGGTCCTAACAAGTTCTGGCCCTCAGCCCCAGGAAATCCATGACACACACACATCATGTGAGCCTCCCACCCCCGCACACGTTCGCACCGGCCAGGAGCCTTGGTGGGGGTGGGGTGCAGAAACGCTCGGCACCCCTGCCAGCCCTCAGCTGTGCCCACCATGTACCCCACAGCCATACAGCCTGAACCTGCAGGTGACCTCAGTCCTGTCCCGGCTCGCCCTCTTCCCCCATCCCCATATCCACGAGTACCTCCTGGATCCCTACATCAACCTGGCCCCGGGCTGCAGGAGCCTGTTCTCTGTGCTGGTCAGGGTAAGGCTGCCTGGGCCCAGGGGTAGTGAGGAGAAACAGTGGCAGGCTGCACTGGGTAGTTGGGGGCTGGTGGGGTGGGCCCCCTTGCCCTGCCAGAGAAAAGCGCAGATCCACAAAGAGCCAGGGGACCCCGTCTTGGTCTTGCCTTCCCCCACTCTAGGTGATCGGAGACTTGATGCAGAGAATTCAGAGGGTATCCCAGTTCCCAGGCAAGCTGCTCCTGGTGCGAAAGCAGCTAATGGGCCAGGTCCCTGGGGAACAGTGAGTACCCAAGGGAAGTGGGTGCCCAGGGAAATGCCCGGGGGGGGGCGAGGGGGGGGCGGGGTGAAGGGAAGGCTTCAGGTGAGGGGAGGGGCAGGGCAGGGAGAGCTCATGAGGGCCCGTCACCAGACTCATGTTATGGCGTCCTAAGATGTCACTCAGCACTCACCCACCTCACACCTGCCGTTTCCATCCAGGCTGGACCACCTGAACCTCCTTCAAGGGGTGGTGGTCCTTGAGGAATTCTGCAAGGAGCTGGCCGCCATTGCCTTTGTCAAGTTCCCCCCCCATGGGCCTCACCGGAACCTCTCCTCACCCCCATCAGAACACGTCTGAGCCAGGAGGATGGCGGGCAGGGAAGATTCCTGTCTGCACTCCGCCCAAGAGCTGCCTCCTGCCCACCTGGCAGCCCGGCCACCCCTCTCTTCCCGGGTGTTGGGGACCAGGCTCACTCCCACTGGGTCTTGGGGACCTCGGCCGTGGCTCCTGGGTTAACTAAGACGACCTTGGCTTGTTGACCAGACTGAGCTAGGTTTCAGGGAGTGGCCCTCAGAGGCACCAGATGCCACCGGAGCTAAAGAGATGGCTTCCCAGGCTGGCTGGTGGCCTTGGGGCCTTCTCGGTGGAACTGGACACTGGCCAGATGAGCAGTCAGGTCCAGACCTCACACTTTCTGGGCCTACCACCCTTTTAGCCAGGACTGCGATGTGGGACTCAGTTCCAGGGGCGTGAACCTAGGCCTGAGATGGGGGCCCGGGGGGGCCGTCCCTGTCACCTCAGGTACCACAGGAGCTGCTGACTTGGCCTTTTCCCCCTGCCTCCTCGACTGGAGCCCTGGGGAGGGGGCAGTGAAGGAGAGCATGGGGAAGCCCCCTCGGCCTACTCTGCCCTGAAGACGATTGCAAAATCCCCAACCGCCTGATGGCAAATGCCCAAAGCGTGTTCCGCGCCCAGGCGGGGGCCGCTGCTAATGAGCGCCTTGATGCAACTGCGGCCAGGGCGGGAGAGGCCCGGGGAGATGGCGAGCTGGGTGCCAGGCTCCAGCTCCAGCTGGTTTCTCCCTGGCGCCTTCTGAACCCGTCTCGGCAGGTCCATGGCACCTGGGCAGAGGCTGAGATGGCCGGCCAGCTGGCCAACCAGCCCAGGCCCTTAGCATTGCGCCTGGCCTCCAGTATTCTCCACAGAAGGGTCTCGTGGGGAGGCAAGGGTGCTCAGGGCACAGGAGGTCAGGAGCCCACCCTACCTAGAGGCCCCCAGGGCCCTGGTGGGGAGGGGCTGAGGTGCAGGCAGCCAGCTCCGGTGTTGTTCTCCCTGCGTGCCCTCCACGGCTGGGGCTGCCACCCCACCCACCCCAATCTGTCTGGACCTGCAGGAGCACACAGGCGGCGCCAGGCATTACCTCACAGCAGGACTGCAGTCGCTGGCGTGGCTCCTGGGCAAGGAGGAGCAGGCCAGAGCCCCTTGCGCTTCCTTTTCCTGCCCAGGCCGCTTCTAGCAGCAGGGCACAGGTTGCCAAGAGGTGACATGAAAGAGGAGGAAACTCAATGACCTCTACCTCTCCCGCATTCCTCCGAGCCAGGGAGACCTCTGCGCATGTGTGAGCGTGCGAGTGGGGTGTGGGGCGGGGGAGCTGAGCTGTGGGGGAGCTGTCCGGGACTCCCGGCCTCGGAAAATGTCCATGGGTCCGGGAGCCCCGGCCCACCCCTCAGTGCACTTTGGCATTTGCATGTTGTCTTCTGAGACAGTGCACCAATAAACGGTGTGGTTGCGTGGACACAGCGCCTTGTTCTTCTCCCTTTGTGCCCTTCTACCCAGGGTTCCCGTGCTAACTCAGACCCCTCTTGCTCCCCAAGGGAGACAAATTACATTCCTTCTCCAGCCCCAGCTGGAGGGGTGGGGGGTGGCAGGGTGGTAAACAGACAGGCTCTGGCAGTGCAGACCTGATGTTCCTCCGAGCCTGCCAGGAATCAGTCTTTCTTAGCCAAGGCTCTCTGCTCAACTCACCTACAGCGAAGAGCCTGCTTGCCTTCGAAAGGCACTGTCCGGTCGCATGTGGAGATGCTGCTCATCTTTGTTTTTATGTTGTGTAGTGTACTGCTGTGTGGGTCTTCAACAGAGGACCTGCCATTTTAAAAAACGCTGTCCTTAGGTATGTGTGTGAGTAAAGGGGAAGGGACCATTGAAGGGGTCCCCCTCAAGTGCTTCAGGGCAGGACAAAACTGTCAGCTTAGAGAAGGGGCTGATAGATACACACCACTGCTATCAAGTCAGTTACAACTCACAGCGCCCCTCTAAGACAGGCTCTTCCCTGTGAGTAAAGACAAACTCTTTACTGGAGTAGAAAGCTGATGGAGCAGCTAGATTTGAGCTACTGACCTTGTGGTTAGCAACCCAACACGTAACCCACGGCATGGCAGGGTTCCTCCCAGGGCTGATACTGCCACTGAGTCAATGCAGACTCCTAGCCAGACGCTGTGGGGGTTTCCTGAGACTGAGACTGTTTAAGGGAGTACAAAGCTCAGTCTTTACTGATGGTGCTTTTGAACTGCCAACCGCATGGACCACAGCCCAATACATAACCATGACACACCCTGGGCTCCATTAAGGGGCTGGCAGTAGCCCTCAACTTGGTGTGTGTTGTTTTAGAATCACTTGGGTGCTTTTTAAAAATCATTGCCCAGACCCCTTCCCTCCCCGAGAAATCCCTGTCTCTGGGAGTGGGGCTAATAGTAGTAGTGAAAGCTAAATTATGCCAATTCGCACCCCAGTTTGAAAAAACATCTAGGCTAATGTTAATTGTCCTAAGTGAGTGCAGCTTGTGGGGTGGGGGGGAGCCTGTCCCTCAGAGGGGACACCTGAGAAGGACCACCAGGAAAGAGGGTTGGTTCCATCTTTGAGAAGGTGTTTGTCCGCAGGACTCAGAGAAAGATAAGAGGGCAGCAGCCGCGAGCCTCCAGCCAAGGCAGGGAGGGTAGCTGGGGAAGGGGCATTGGAGCTTATCTTGGTCCTTCAAGGTGAAGGGCAGATACTTTGGGAGACTCTCTGCATAGTCAGACAATTGAACGTTATACACAATCCACAATCGCGAGTACTTGATTTATTTTCTTTGTTCACTTCCTTTGGCTTTCCCTTAAATTTGAGGGTTTTTTTTTCTTCCCTTCTTTCCTTTAAATCCTACCGTGGGGTTGAAGAGACAGAGAAAGGTCTTAGTCCTGCTTGGGGTGCGGTGGTAAAAGGCAGAGGCGTGAGCCAGCCGGGTCGGAAGGAAGAGGAGCCAGAGAAATGGGGGAGAAACAGAGCAGCGAGGCAGAGCCGGCATGGCATCTACGACTCGCCCCGGAAGTTTCTCTCCTAGTCTTCTCACTGTTCAAACTTGGAAGGCGTTAGAGACATATCTGAATAGTTATGTTGCCCCCACCCCCAGTCCCTGGCCAGTGAAGTGCAGAGCACCCCAGCGGGGTCACTTATAGCTGAGGCCTTGCCACCCCAGCCACTCGCCTCCGGCACACTGGGTGGGCAAGTCCAGGGTGGCTGTGGGGATGGAGGGCAGCAGCTCTCTGACAGCAAGAAGGCAAAACAAGCCACGCCCATTTATTTTAGCCCAGGGCCTACTCTGCTAATGGCCCTGCTCAGTGTGCTGAGGCCCGAGAGGACTCCGATATAGGCCTTTATGGAGGTGGGCACAGGAAGTGAAGACTGTCATCTCCGGTTCTGAAAGACCCCACATTCCCTGCAGCTGTTTGCCCTCAGGGCAGCTGAGTTTCCGAGGTCCGGCTCCCTGCTTGGTGAAAAGCGCTGTCCATCTAGAGAAATGTGATGCAGGGAGAGGGGGAAGTCCCCTGAGGGGCAGGGCAACCCACCATCTCCGCTCCCAGCGCAACAAGATCCCTGACCTCCAACGTCTGGCCTCCCTCAGAGGAGAGGCGACAGAGGGCTGGGGAGGAGGGCACAGAGGCCCAGCCTCTCACCTGCTCTCTGCCCCGTGCTATCTGTTGACTGGGATGACGGAGGCTTCCCGAAGCCTCTGTAAGAGCTGGCTTTGTAGGGCTTCCTCTACCACTTTCCACCATGAGAAGTTCTCGCCCTGAATCTTTGGGGGCTCATCTTGGACACCCGGGTTCCGGAAAGCCACGGTCACCAGCACATTCAGGCAGATGCCGTCTGAGTGGTCTTTGCCCAGGTGCTGCAGTCCAAACAATCCCTTGGTCTCCACTACCAAGTGGTGCAGGGCCAGACATCCCTGTAGGAGCCGCAGGACGGCCATCTTCATGCCGCCCCTCTGCTCCGTGGGGGTGAAGCCACAAGCAGTGATGGGCAAGTGTGGCTTCCCCCCAGTGGCCACCAATACCCACACCGTCTGAGCACTGGTGAAGGTGGCCACCAGCCGCTGGCAGACCAGACTGCAGGGCAGCTCCTGGGGTAGAACTGGAGGGTGGGTGGCTTGCTGGCAATAGCGGGCTGCTAGCTCCACCAGGTGCAAAATGTCATGGGCCCTCAACGGAGTAGGCAGGGAGTTGCGAGGGTACCAGCCAGCCTGCAGGGACTCCGCGTCTGCGTCCTTGGAGGTCTTGAGAATTCCACCTAAGGGTATTTGGGAGACAGGATGGGCAAAAGAGAAGAGCCAGGTCTGGCAGGGGAAGACAGCTTCCCCACCCTCGGCTCTCTAGCCCCAACCCAGGGAAGTAGCCCAGAGTTCTCAGGCTGGAATCTGACAGGGCCAGGCTTGTACCAGCCCGGAAAGGGCTGGCTGTGGAGGGGCTCCTCTCAACTGAAGTCAAGTTGGGAAAAGTGTCAGTTGCTCCCTGCTCACATGGACATCAGCTGGGACCTACCTGTGGGGCGAGCAAGGAACACAAATCGCACCCAGGCAGGGCCCCGTTCCTCCACACACAGCAGTGTCACGGGCTCACAGTGCAGCCCTGCCTCCTCCTCCACCTCGCGCCGCAGGGCCTCCACAATGGTCTCCGCAGGCTCCATCCTCCCTGCTGGCAGGTACCAGGACCCTCGGCACTCCCGCTTGGCCTCCTGGATCAGCAGTACCTCATCCTGAAGGGAGAGGGGATGGTGACTCTCCCACAGCTGGCCTGGGAGCTGTGTCCCAAGCAGCCCACAGGGGAGCTCCCCCTTGCCGCAGGGCCACAGAGCATTGTCCATGCCATGCCTCGTGTGCTCTCGCTGAGCACCACGTGCCGTCCAGCCACCCCGGACTTCTGGCCACCCCTAAACCTATTGGGGTGGGACTGGGCTCCATGGCCGAGCTGTTGTTCCAAGGTCCTTCGAGTTCAGTGGTTCTCGACCTTCTAATGCCTCGACCCTTTGGTACAGTTCCTTATGTTGTGGTGACCCCCAACCATAAAATTATTTTCGTTGCTACCTTCTAACTGTGATTTTGATACTGTTATGAATCAGACGACCCCTGTGAAAGGGTCGTCGACCCCCAAAGGGATCAAGACCCACAGGTTGAGAACTGCTGTTCTGGAGGTTCAGAGCTCCAACACCATGTGTACCACCCAAGGGCTTGCCCTGTCTGCTGGGCACCTGCAAATGGTTGCGCTCTCCAGAAGCCTTTTGGGGAGTAGGGGCTGCAGAGGTCTGCCTTCAGGTTCTTGAGAAAGGGGCTGGAATTCCTGGGCCAGGCCCCAGGGTGAAGGTCACCAAGTGTCCAGAACAGAATCCTGCCTGTATCTGTCATTATGCCTCTGGCCTCCTTACCTGGTTACCAAGTGCTGACAACTAATTCTATCACGGATGGTCACGCTTCTGAATCATGCCCTTCCTCAACCCTACACGACCCTTCTAGGGAGCAATGGTGGCACAGTGGTTATGAACTGCAAGGCCAGCAGTTTGAAACCACCAGGCACTCCGAGGGCGAATGAGTGAGCTCCACACTCGCATACAGAGTTGACCGTCTCAGACACTCACAGGGGTCCCCGTCCAACAGTGTGGCTATGAGTCCGCATGGTCTTGAGGGCAGTGGGTCTTTACAGAGCTGTCACTACAAGCAAGTTTGATAGAATCAGCACCCCAAGGCGCACTCGGCAGGGATCAGCAGGCCTCTGGTAAGTGCAGGTTCTGCTATTACCATTGGGGAGGGGGTGTGTGCATGGGAGGTCTTCAGAAAGTCTGGGAATAACGCAAAAGCCGTTGGCCCTCAGTTTCTCCCTCTAGATAGCGGGAGGATGGCAGGCGTGGGCCGCACAAAGCTCCGATGCCAGTGGAAGTGCTTCGAGAAACTGGGAAGCGCCACACTCCGTGCGTGGCGGTGCGGTGCTCCGTCCCCGCCCCCGGGGCTGCCCGCGCGTGCTCCAGGGGCCGCCGGCCCCCGGCGCCCCGCTCACCTGCTCGTTGAGGAACACGGCAAGCACCACGTAGCAGACGTCCTTCCGCAGCTGCACGGGGCCCACCGGCTCCTCCAGGGCCGGCGCCGAATCGCAGCTCTGCACGCGCGGCCCCCCACCCCTCAACACGTCCGCCAGCGCCCCCGCCAGGCCTTCAGAAGCCATCCGGACCAGGGGGTGCCTCCCGGGCACGGTGGGCGCGCAGCGAGGGGGCTGCCTCCCCTCCCCTCCCCCCGCGGCCTGGGAACGGCGCTCGCTCGCGGACGCGGAAG